CTCCGACGCCCCCGCTCCCCGACTCAGGTTCCCTCCCTCCCTCCCGTTGGTGATTTGAGGGCCGTCTGGGATCCTTGAGGGGGGTCACGGTGTGGTGCACTTCCTGTCGTATTTTGTAGTTCTCTGCCACTCGTGTCCCCGGGTAACTTCACTTCCTGCCGGTCCTGTCTTCCCCTGTGATTGTCTGATTGTTTCCACCTGTGTCCAATCACCTGCGCCTCTGATAATCAAAAGTTCTTTTCATGGGCTTAGTTGGGGGTTCGCTGTCTTGTCTTGATTTAAGAGTTAGGTAAGGAGCAGGCAGACACGAGTCCGACAGGATGGGGAGTCAGTTTATGTCCTGGCTGAAGGTCTGCGGGTCAACTAGAAGATTTACCAGCCAAAGGGGGGTTAGAGACACACCAACACTATTCAACATACACACTCTGTTTACGATGTTTACGTTAAGTCAGGAGTCTGGACATCGGATGTGACCGGATCTTAGATGCGGGAGGTGGAAGGTCCTCCTCTACGCCAGTTTAGGGCCAATAGAAATCTTTCCTTCTCTGTCTTTCAAGGGTTATAAAACATGATGTTCTTGCTGATGTTAGTGAGTTGTTCTTCCGGCCTGTGTGCTGCCTGAACTGCTCCTGCCTTTGCAAACGCAGCGCTGATACTTGACCTGTGATCTGACAAATACATTTCCCAGAACGAGAGAAGTCATTCGGCTGAATTTTTGATAACCACGACCAGGCTCCAAATCTTGAACACGTATTCTTACACCTCCCTTGTGTATTTAAGCCGTGTGTGTGTTGTTTGTCACCTGTGGCGTCATTGTCTTTTGTCACGCATGTCCCTGTCAATCGTCCTGCCTGCCTCTCGTTCCTTTTTGCCCTTAGTTCCTGTGTGTTTTTGCCCGTTTTGACTATTAGTCCTTTTTGTTTTGTTTGAGTCCTGCCTTCCACGCACCCCTGACAACCTCAGCCACAGGTTTCAACCATAAGAACAAGAAAGTGCCATTTCATTTAATAAGCCGATTCAGAACTTAGAGCCATTATAAGTAGAATTACAGTTTGTTGGGACAGGAATCAGGAAACAAACCCACGCTGGGACAAAGTCTGCGTCTGCTGCTTCTTTTGGGTCCACGTTGACGCTGTTAAATGAAAGCGTTTGGCTTTTAACTGGTTGTGAAGCTGTCTCATGATAATAAGTATGAAAGAGCAGAGACGAGTCCACGTCTTCTCCTTCTGAGTCTCATTGTGTCCTCACAAACACACAGACACAAACCTTCAGTGATCATTTTATTAACAACAACGATGACACATCTGTGAAAGAAGTCGTGAGCGCGTGGAAGAGAAAACTTCAGTCTACTGCAGATTAAATGTGGATTAAGTCTGAAAAACTGAAAACATTCTAAAAACACACTTAACAGGTTCAAAACAACTGATCCACGCTGGTCCAAGCTCGAGTCTTTGCCCACAGCGAACCAGCTGTGAGACACAATCTGTCCTCTGTTAGCATTCTACCTCAGCTAGCGCCGTTAGCTCCCTCAGCGATGCTACCTTTGTTAGCATTGTCCCCTTCCGCTCCCTGGTCCAAATGAATCTGTCTTCGGGGTCCTTGTTTCCCCTGAAAGACTTCCTGAACCTGCAGCCGGTTCTAGCTGCACAGTCCGGGGCCACAGACCCCCCTGAGACCCCCCTGACCCCCTGAGACCCCCCTGACCCCCCATGTAGAAAACAAGCACTTACAACAAATCTTTCAAATGCATTTTTGTTTCTCCTGTGTGTGTTGTGTTGTGCGTTGTTAGTTGCCGTCGTTGTTGTTGGTTCTCAGGTCAGTTGAGTCTGTGAGGGAGGAAAGTAGAGATGAGCTTCACTTTACATCCCACAGGGAACTAAAGGCCGATTGAGAGGACAACACCATCACAATATTCAGCTTCCACGAGCAGCACAAACATGTAATAAATGGTTTATAACTGACTGTAATGTAGTTATAAACACGTGTGTTTAGGTCAATGTAGAAATAATGTGTATTAACAAGCGGTTATACATTTATGCTGCAACAAGTTAACAAACCAACAAACAAAAAACTATTTCAATAATCGATTAATCACAGAAGTCATTTTTTAAAGCCAATAATTAATATAAGTCTTATATAATATTATAATTCTAAGTACTTCACTGCCTCGTACTGAGAGGTACCAGTGAGAGTCCACCACAGGTCGTCATGGTGACGGCCCTCTGGCTCCCCCGGGTGTCCCGGTGAGGAGGTGCACGTGTAGAGACGCCCACAGGCCGACCTTTGACTACGTTCAGCTCCGTCGCCTCCTCGGGGTTGCCTCCGGGCTTTGAGCTTCCTCCTGAGGACAAAACGAGGAGACACGGGGACTCATTAAAGAATCCTCCGCCCTTTGTCTTCTGATGGGAGGGACTCCAGATCAGGCGTGTGACCCGTTTACATGCGTGATAACAGCTGTATTATTGAGACGATTTGAATCTATTGGATGTCATATAGACCATAGACATATATGCTTATTACCATAGACATATGTGCTTATTACCATAGACATGTGATTATTACCATAGACATGTGATTATTACCATAGACATGTGATTATTACCATAGACATGTGATTATTACCATAGACATGTGTGCTTTACTTCCCTTTCCTCCGCCCTTTGTTGCGTGTCTGTGTGTAGTTGTGAAGCCGAAGGAGGAGGGAGGAGTCACGGATCAGCTGTACGGCGAGATGAAGCCGGTGGACGGAGCGAACTACATCATCAAACACAGTCGCAACAAGAACGACTACAACGAGGTGAGACTTCCTGCTTAAAGCCTGAGGAGACGCGTGGTGGGACCAGAGGAGGCGCCCCCTGCTGGGCGCCGCACAGCACGCAGCCTCCCGACTCCGCTCTCTCTCCTCAGGAGAAGGATAACTGGAGCGGCATCGCTCGCACGGTGGACCGCCTCTGTCTCTTCCTGGTGACCCCGGTGATGACCTTCGGCACCATCATCATCTTCCTGATGGGCATCTATAACACTCCTCCACATCTGCCCTTCGAGGGAGACTCGTACGACTACCTGAGCGGCCGCAAGCTGTGACACGCACACGTCTGCACACACACACACGCACACGTCTGCACACACACACACACACACGCACACGTCTGCACACACGCACGCACACGTCTGCACACACACACACACACACGCACGCACACGTTTCTCTCCTGTTAATATCCACGTTTGTTTCTTTCTCGATTATGTTTGTTTGTTTGCGGTTTCGTAGCTGTGTGCGTTTTTCCAGGTGAATAACTGAATCAGTATATCAGCTTTTTATTTTATTTGTGTGGAGGGTGTAAAGTGACGAGACAGGAGACGGAGATGCGTGTCAGCGAGTCAACTTTACTCTCCACTTCAACACTCAGAACAACATGTGAGAACTACTGCAGACAGCACGTTAACCTCACATCCAAAACTTTCCCTTAAAGGTACAGTCCCCTAGTGAATGTCTCCCCAGCGTTACTCCCAGAATTCACCCATAACCACAGGCCAAGACCAAACAGGTATCCCACAGAGAACATAGGACACTACATGCCAATGCAGAACAGTCCAGCCCATACAGTCCCGAAGAAGGTCAACGCACAGGGGGGCGGACCAGGCGGCCATAACGGCTGCGCTTAACAGGAGAAGGGCGAAGGGCGGGAGGCAGGGCAGGAGCAGGGGACGGGGCCAAGACCGCCGCCGGGGGCCGCCCTCGGCGTGGGGGCCGGGCCAGCTGGAGCGGTTCGCCAATATCCACATGAGCAGGTTTGAGACGGTCTATAGCTACCCGCTCAGGCCTACCCCCCATATCCACAACAAAGTTCTTAGACCCCCCCACGCAGGACACGGAAGGCGCCATCGTAATGTGGGCTGCTGCGGGGCGCGATGGCCATCGTGGCGAATGAAGACTTACTTCACCGACGGCAAATCCTTTGGATTAGATCTGCGCGGGGAGGCCATGGCGAGA